CCTCTGAATCTTGTTTCGTCTGTCTGCATGTCTTGCCTGTGAGTAACAGCAGTGCAAAATGCCAACCCAGATGAGTGAGAAGATCTGAATTCCTAATAATGCCTTTGAATCTCTAAACCAACTAGTTCTGCAACTGCTGTCTCTGTCCTATCTTACTATGCACGTGAGATAAGAAATATCTTTATTAATTGAACCAACTGCAACTGGAAGCATCCAAAATGTTGAAGATCAGAATTGTCTCTAAAATGCACATATCTCTGGTCTAGATCTCTGGGATATAACAAGTCCTAATAATAGGTACTAATCTTAGGAGCGAACACTTCTTGAAACCACCACTGAAGGTTAAAAGAAAAAAATGGTAACAGGAAGGTCATGGTGAGTTTTGCTCACAAGGCACCGGCCAAACAAGTCCTGGGTGAAATGCCCTAAATGAGCCACATATTAGACTGAGTATACAGCAGAGAGTTGGGCTGGACAAGGTCAGAGAACGTAGGAAGATGGTGGGAAAGTTTTTTGCCTGGTCTTTGCATTGTTACCGATCCATAACTATACTGTATCTAAAGCCTCCCACCAAAGATTAGGTTCTAATCTAAGTGAGGTACCAGAAAAGATGCTTGTCACTCTCTGACATTGCACCTCCAAACCATTGTACCTCCTTAATGTGCCCCTCCATGCTTGCCTCCATTTTATTTGCTTGGCTAGAAAATGACCTCAGAAATGACCTTTAATGTCACTAATTGAACATTAGTGAACCCAGCACCATGATTCTGTGTTCTCTTTTCCCCTGCCAACCAGGAATATCCACAATAAATATTAAATTTGAGCATCACACAAATTTTTGTTTTATAAGTGGCGAGATTTGGAGGCTTGTTATAGTTGTTACTGTGACAAGGTCAACTCGGCAGACTTGTTGATCTTGAGTTGAGTGTCAACCCTGAATATTTCAGCTAATACAATTCAGGTTATAAATAAGGAAAGTGAGGGTCTGAGAATCGAGCATCTCACCCAGAACATGCCGGAAATGAACTGTGGAAACACTCTGTATCCTCAACCCCAACCTCCTGAGGCCCTTTCAATAACAAACAAACAAACAACAACAACAACAACAAAAAATTCCAATTTGGCTCAAAGTCTTGAAAACTGATACTGAATAAATGAAGGCTAAACATCATTGATTATTGTGATGTTACATATACATCCCTGAAAATAAGTGTTCTTGGTTTTCTGTTAAGCTTTATTTTAAGACATGTTTGCAAGATTTTCACGTGATTGATATCCACTAGTGTCTGGTGAAGACTAACAATCTATAGGTTGATCATTTCTAATTTCCCTTCTTCTCGGCATATAATTTGGCTTTCTAATGAATCTCTGGTGTATTTAACATTAAGTTCTCAAAAGTATCAAAACTACGCTATTCCTCCTTCATTTAAACACTTTTTTAAATTAAGAATTGACACATTTTATCATAGAGAGAAAAACAATTTGAAAATCAACCTCAAAATCCAGGTTTTTCACTGTGAAATTCAAGTTACAGGTTAGCAGGAGGGATGGATCGCAGTGATCTGTGTAGCACTCTATGATGGCAAGAGGCGTCAATACAAACACCTTTGTGTCAATATATTAGCTAAACATAGTAGCAAGGGACATATATGTAGACTATGTATATACATATATCCATCTCTGTCTACTGAGAGGGGCTAAATAGAATGGTAATCAGCAAGCATACAGCCAAACATTTGTTTATGATAAAATTCTCAAAGCAACACCATCAAAACAAAAACATTCAAGACTTCTAGAAAAGGTGTCAAACTCTAGAACCAGCCATGGAAAGATACAAGGTGACCCTGGAACATCTTGTAAAATGGTAAAGTAACGAATGCTCTTTTTAAAAAGAGAAAAAGAGCATCCTATAACAATAGGGTATGGCAAAAGGACACAGGAGTCAAGAAGCCAAATGAAAGTGTGGTCAAGGGCTAAATCAGAATAATTTGAGCAATCAGTCTATAATTATAAAGCAAAGTATAAATAAATATATATATATAGGCTTGTATCAAGGCAGATAGAAGCTAAAAAGAATAATAGTGTGAAAGAGATCAGTATCCTGCATAGAAGAATTTCAAATGATTTACAGACCCAACTTCGAGGGAGTGTTAGCTCTCCACACCTCTAGAGGAGCGACAGGTAGCAATATAACTCTCAAAATATTGTATGAAATACGGCTAATGTCACAATGAAGAAAGCTGGTAAGAACTCCAGGCAAGCAGTTGGGTTGACATTAGGGGTGACATTTATAGAACACATCCTTGCTGTGATGATACAAAAGTAGCGCTTCATGACTGTGTTGGTCCTTCATCAAACTGGGTCTAATCATGAGGGAAATATCCCATTAGGGAAAAATTCTAAATTGACCCCATGAATTCTCCTCAAAAGTTTCAAGTATATCAGTCAAAAGCAAGGACTGTCTGAGACACTGCTCCAATGAAAGACACAAAAGGAAGCACAGCCACTAAATATAACGTAGATTTATATATGGGATCCTGGGGCAGAAAAAGGACGAGTTAGAACCTGAAGAAATAACTATACCGAATATACTGCACCAACATAATAATAATGGTAGACACTGAATGATGGTTCTAAGTTGACTTCCTATGTTTTCTAAAATTTCCTACAATCTGAAGTATCTAAAATTAAGCCATTTTTATTTGTCATCATCAGTCTCATCATCAAATTATAAATGGAAACTTTTTATTGTCACCTTTATCTTTCAATTCTGCATGTATGCCTTTATCTTTCCAGGTGACTTCATATTGTATATAGTCTTCACTTAATAGTGACCTATTCCATGTATTATAAGTTTACCAGGTGTGTAAATATAAGCCATTCATTTTAGCAAGCTATTGTATTTCATTTTTAGTCAATTATGTATTGTACTCTTTCCCCCCACAACATATGATAAATCTATTAGTCCAGGAAATGAAGGAAGTGGAAAGAGAAAGCCAGGAAAGAATGATGATGACGTATTTGTGTATTATGAGAAGTGAGTGAGGCGGGTGTCTACTGTTGGGAACAGGGGAAACATGGTACACTAAGAAAGAAAATACCCAATATCAGTTCCATCCTCAGTAATGACTCTGGGTATATCCTGGAAGCCCCCTAATATCTCCACTGTCTAGGGTTCTTGTTTATAAAACGGAACAGGTATCTTACTCAGTAGAGTCCATTCCCAAATCTTACTGTTCTTTATTATATACACCTTATTGTTTTTAATAGAGCTATACATTTTCCCCCACTCTCCTTCCTTCCTGCCCTCTCCTCTTCTACCTTCCCCTTGCCCCCAAGCTCTCAATTTACTGAGGAGATCTTGGCTTTTTGTTCCTTACTGCTGTTTTTCTAATGACAGTTTCTTAGAAAAATGTATGTGAAGAATAAGACCAAGTATCTTTGACATAATAAAGTGAATCATTGGTGTTATTCTTATAATTAGTATTTAAGATTCACTTATTTTGTGTATAAATGAGTGTTTTTCCTGCATGCTTGTATGTATACCACATGCATGCCTCATACTTGTGGAGGTCACAAGAGGACAACACTTCCCTGTAGCTGGAGTTACTGATGGTTGTGAGCCACCAGGTTCCTCTGCAATAATATGTGCTCTTAATGAGGAGTATTGCAAAAACGATGAGTTCAACTGAACACAAGGAGTGTCAGTAACAGTTCAATGATCTTCCAAGAAAATGGGAAAGGCCTTCAATATGAAGAAGCTTGTAGCTTGGATTGGCCAGTGAAAGACAAAGAATACTGCAGACACTACTTCCCCACACAGTCACCAGGACTGTGTCCAGTTTATAAGACTGGGGGTCTTCTGCTGTCTTACATTCACAGTCCTATAAATTCGGGTCCTTAAATGTTATCTTTTCTCCTAGACTAGGCTGCTTCATTCTCTGCCTTAGCTAAGGGATGACATCTAACAACGAAAAATAAATATATAAAGTATCTATTGAGAAGATAATTAGCTTGTGTTCGTGATGAGATGTGCGCCCCTCTAAGCATCTAATGGAGAATGGGTCCCTGGGTGTTGCCTAAGAAAGTGAGCAGAGGATCCCTTGAGAGTTTATCTTCTCTGTGGAAGTCATTCCACACTGGGAAAATCAGCTCACAATCAAATTGCACAACCTGTTCTCAGGATTTCTTCATCTTGTTTGTTTGTTTTGTTTCCCCACAACAGGATCTTTCAGATGCTCCAGCAGGTTTAAAATTGCACACGCACACACGTTTGAAATTGATGGGGTCTGCTGGTGAAAGTTCCTGGCCTTCACGCTGAGGAACACCAAGGGCAGCATTGTGGGAGCTTTCGGTCTCTATGATGGAGACTTAGTATTTCCCGCGAGTTCTGCAGTATGTTGTCCCATGCCACCTAGCTCTCTTTCCTCGGGCGAAACTGTCAGCTGTGCCTCTGAAAGTTTTGCTTTTGAAATTGGGTTGACACAAGAAAATTAACCTAAACTAAAAGTCCTGAAGTGGCTGTGATAAAGAACAAGGGATGGAGGGCAGAAAAGGATGATGGGAAAAGCCAGTACTAAAAACTTCTAGTCCTGAACCCTCAAGCTTACAGAAAGTGAGTATAACATGCTGCCTGTGTCACACACACACACACACACACACACACACACACACACACACACTCCTATTGGTAAATGTCTCCTCCCGAACCTCCATAGAAATGAAGACAGATCTGGAGAGCCCCAGTACTGGTATAGATGGGGTCTCTTGCAGGCCTCAGCTCAGGGCTTGTGGTAAGACGGCCTGGAAAGTGTTGCAAGGAAAACCCTTGCGTGCACAAGGAAAAACCTTTTGTGGAATGTTAAAAATGCAGCATCATCCTCTTTGCTCTCTTTTCTTTAGCCCAAAGACAGAATTCGAGGGCACAGGGCTCTAAGAAGAGCTTGAAATCTGCCCTCTGGAGGAGGCATGGAGCCCCTCCCTCCAGGTTCTGATGGCCCCTGCTCCCACGGGCCAGCAGCGCCTCCACCCTTTACCTTGTCCATTCACTCCAGCCAGGAAGAGAAGGAAAACAAAACTCTAAAAATAACTGTCAGCATCTTAAAAAGAGAAAAGCTTCGCTGCCACCACCACCCCCCTCTTCTACTCCCGCCCTCCCTCCGCGCCACGGGGCACATGTCTGCTTCTTACAACACCGCGAGGCACATGGTCCCAGTTAGACACCGAACCCCATCGGGACAGAGAGAAAATCCACATCTGTGGGACGCTCCGCACAGAACCGCCACCTCCAGCAAGGAAGGCCGGGGGGACTGCAGCAGCGACATGAAGAAGGGCTAGAGCAAGGGGACGCGGCTCATGCGGTGAGAGGCAGCGCGCGCGCG